AGGTCATGTTTACATACCGAAAACTCCCAGATCCTAACCATGTCCCAAGGTGTTCCGCAAGTGAGGCAAGTTTTATTGAGTTTTGTACTTGCTTAGGCGAAGCTTCGGCGTAAAAAGGTTATCCTGCGTTCTAACGAGGTCATGTTTACATACCGAAAACTCCCAGATCCTAACCATGTCCCAAGGTGTTCCGCAAGTGAGGCAAGTTTTATTTATACTTGCTTAGGCGAAGCTTCGTTGTAATTCAGGCCAATCCCGCGTCTTACGAGGTTATTTCTACATTCCGAAACTCACCGGATGAAATTTAATCCCATAATCTCATTACCAGTTTATTAAGAACACTTCCACTTGAGAATAAATAATACAAGAAAAGACAGATAGAATTAGGTTTGAAAATTGACGGAATGTAATTATTTGCATCCTGCGGTTCTGCGCTAATTTTAGGAATGGTTTTATTTAAAAGTACATATCTACGTGACTTTTAGTTTCCATCAAATTTTTTTAAGTTCCTTTAAAACCCTACCCATTATCTACTTTATATCGAGTTTTGACTTTCAAGATATTATTTATTACATTGTAATTTTTTTTAAAATAAAAATATGTATGAACAAAATCAATAAAAATGATAATGATGGTAACTATTTATTTTAAAATGGTTAGAAACTTTTAATTATAATCAAAGGGATAATTTTAAAGGATGGCGTCTCGCAAAGCATATTAAATTTGAAAGTAGAAATGTTTCGTCGATAGAATGCTCCTCCGAGAAATGAGAACTTTCTAATAGATCCAGGACTAAATTGTTAACGAATTTATTTAAGGTATATTGTTCGTTTTAATCGAAATTTTTTAATCCATACATTATGTTAAACTTTTCTTTTTAACATCATAGCGTTGGAGCTTTATTGTGGGAAATTGCATAGTTAAATTAATCTCTTTCAGATTTATAATAATACATTGTTTGAAAATTTATAATTTAAATTATTTTGTTCTTTTTTTTTTAGCTTTGGAATATGAACACTTACACCAAATTTAATTTATTTGTTTGGTGATATAAATTAGATTAAAAAAAATATTAGATGTTACACAAATTAAGTCTAACCGTTTTGGGAAAATTATCGTCTAAATTAAGGTTGAATCATTTTCTCTTTCGGATATTATTATTTCTAGGTTATTACATGAATGTTACAGTATATATTGACGAGATTAATATTAAAACAATAATACAGTAATTCATTGAGAGATCCCCCGACAAAAAAAATATTTTGTCGATCGGGATCTAGCAACAAAAAAAAAAAAAAAAAAAAAAAAATGATAATTTCGATACTTTGGCAAAGTTTAGACTCGACCAATATTCGTATCTAAACTATTTAAGCTCGAATGACCTTTCTCGAAAGTTACATTATTTGATTGATCGTCTTTAGTAACATTTGTTTTGTTAGGGTCCCAGCCTTCATTTATAATTAATTGAACCACGTTACCGATCGCACCTAATGCATGTCCTAAGGAAAATAAATAAATTTAATCAAAGGTGGAAGTGTTTATCGAATATATCGTTCATATCAAAAGTTTAAGTTTACCTACCGCAACCTTTTAAAATATAGATCCAAGGATGTTCAACCTATAAACAATATGTAATAAATTTTTTTTTTTTCTTTAATTGAGAAAATAATAATAAAAGTAAAAAGTAAAAAAAAAAATTTTATTTCTAAAACTTACACCGAATAATCTACCTAAATTCTGAGCCTGTATAAGAACCCATTGCAGGACAAATATGATCATGTAACTGACGACTTTTTTAGTAGCCTTCTTCTCAAACTCGCCGTTTTTAATTAGTTTTTCATTTTTATTAGTTTGTATTTTCATTAGTATTTTCACATAGCAATAGAGGATTACTATCAACGATAATGTTATTAATACGAATAAGAATATGGACGAGGAGAATTTTCCGGCTTTTCCAGCACACCTGCAAGGAATTTAATTAACCCTTGTCAAGTAACAATGATCGAGTTAAATTTCGCATATGGAATAAATAAACTTACCAATATTTACGCGAACCATGGTTTCGTATGTTGACCAGTTGAAATATTACAGATATCAAGAATACATGAAACCAAAGCCTATAATCGTATTTACCAAAACGTAAGATTGTATCATAATTATGGCAAATTCGAAGATATGTTGCCACGCTAGTAAAAAAAACAAGGGAATATATTTAGATTTTTTTTTTTTTGCGGTTCACGTTCAAATTAAAGAACAAATAAATTATGATTCAAACTTACGCCATAATGGAATATAATGATAAACTGATTGTAATAAGGGCCCAAAGTACAAAGCTGATTATTTTGCATGCCGGTTCCTCAAAGACATTTGCATACATGGAAGTATGTACCTAATTGAAAAGAAACGGCGTGAAGTTTTAATGGAAATTTTTTTTAAAAAAACAAAAAGTTAAAAACGCATGAATAATTAAACTATACTTACGATATTTATTAGAAATAATCCATTTTCTATGAAACCTAATTAATGGAAGGAATGAAGCGCGTCAATTAATAAATACATAAGTTGAAGTCAAGAATTCGAACGTTTGGGTTATACGCTCACCTGATAAAGAGGTGTAAAACGGCAGTTTATAAGCCATCTTCAAGCTTTTTTTATTAAACTTCCATTGTTTATATGTTCTGTAAATTACGACCAAATTCCCGAGACAGCTCAATGCAAACAGTATAATCAACGAATCGGTTACCATATAAAATTCATTACGATTATATGGATCAATCAAACTTGTGGGAGGATTACTTGAAGAATTTAAATATTGCCTAAACTCTTCAGGAAATAGTATGGCTGGCATGATATATTATTTGGTGAGAAATGGATTAGATTAGAAATGAAACAATTCGTGAAAATCAAGTTCATTATATAATATTTTTTTTTTATAATATTTCTAACAAAGGATTTAAAATGATGAATTAAGATTTGCTTTTTTGTCGTGATTTTCATTCATAAAATCAAGTTTGATTTCTACTTCATATGGTGACATTAAAGGAGTTGACTTTGTTTTTGACTTTTGTTTCACAAGAAATGCAAGTAATATTTGTTAATGTTGTATGATTAGCATCCACATGCGTAGCCTAAGAACGGTCAAATTCCCTGTTTAATCCATTTCTTTATTTATTAAGCAAATGTTAAAGCGCGTAATATTATTAATAAATAAAGCTTGAAACAAAGTTATAAGTATTTTCTTTAAAATAAAAAAGAAAGAAAATGGTTCAAAAAAAAAAAATTGATTATGAGGAAAGTAAACTGAAAAAAGAAATAAGGTGAATGGTTTGAAGAAACTGATAAAAAAATTTATAGTGACGAAAGTGAAATTATTATAATAAATGATAACTACGTAATGTAAAAAATTTCAATTAAATTGTATTAATATGGAAAAGATATGAGAGAATAAGGAAGTATTACCCCGGATCGTCCAAAGGGTTATGCCGATCACTTCCAAGTTAGAATTCATTAAATTTTTAATATAAATTTTGACACTAATTCCAATGAAAAAACGTTGTAATCACCGCTTTGTTTTAAGAAATTCATTCAAAATTTTGAGATGATTTTTTACCGAGTAAAGATGGGTGGAATGTTCCATCGACCATTTTTTAGGATTTTTGGATTTAAAAATTTCTTTGTATCTTTGATTCCACTAAAATGATTTAATTTAATGAATTGCATTAAAATTCTTTCTTTATATTTGCTTTCGATTATTGCTTATTTCAGAGGAATTATGTTTGTAAAATTGAATATTTTATGCATTAAAGGTGTTGATTGGTTCATCTTTATTTAGTTCATCAATTATTTGTTACTTGCATTGTCTATCAATCTCAATAGATTTTTTCATTGATTTCATTTTTGATTTTCTCCTAATCCTTTTTAACTGTTTTCCACGAGCTTTTTATTTTTCGATTGAGTAAACTTGCCTGCATATCAAATAATTCCTCGTGGTAAACATTCATGCGATATTAAAATTAATATGCAATGACTTCATAAATTTTCTTTGTTTTAAAAACTACTAAAAGGGTTTTTTTTTTTTTTTTTTTTTTTGGAAAGAAAAGAGTCGCATGAAAGAGACAATTCTTCAAATATTATTTGAAGAAACATCAAAGATTTAAAAAACATCAATTTGAGTCAAGTATATTATGTATCGTAAGTTTCGATTTACATAATCGAACTTGTAACACAAAGGCCTTCGTCGTCACAAATGACTTAACTCTCGTATAATTTTGCGGATTTTTCACAGTCAATCAAAAAATTAATTAGTACAAAATTACGGCGTCCATCTTTAGAATGAATGGCGTAAACAATAATAATTTTCATTTAGAATTTGTAAGAGAAGTGGATTTATTTAAGGTATTATTCATTAATTTTATATCATTCGTTATGATAATGGAAATATGAAATAAATATAAATATATCATATATATATGAATATAAGGAATTCTCGAGTCCGACATTTGTCTCATTCATGTAGAATTCGAGCTGATAAATTTAATGCTGCTCCCTCGCTTACAAAAATTAACCACTAAATAAAAAAATGTGCGTTATTAATGTTCCTCCGATGTTTCTTGTAGCCAATAAATTTATTTTGATCGACATTATTTATTACCCATAAATAATCCGAAAAATAAACAGCTTTCATAATACGATTTTCCTTTTGTAGATTCTATAGTTTTGGTCGGACGATACCTTTATACCTCATTCAGATATGTAATATAATCTATTTTTTCTTTAAAATACTTGCATACCGATTGTAACGTTTACATTGACTTCTTTCCCTGTATAATATATAATCCTCACAATAGAGAAAGCGATGAATAATCTTTAATTTTTCTTGCTAGTCTTGCGTGAATATGTGAGTACCTCCAAATTTCACATTTTCATTATCTTTGTTACTAATGATATTAGATCACTATAATAAATAAGTCTTGTAATTTACAGTGCAATTGAACCAATATTCTGGCGAGGAGTTATATGAGTCTGATTAATAGTATCTTGATTACTAACTATCAGAAAAATCAATGTAGAAAATTTCAACGTTGTTTGATACATGCCGAATATTGATATCCATGTGAATTTGAATACTGGAACCTAAGTGAACTCCAATCAGAACGTTACCATCATTGATAGAAATTGTGAAAATTATAGCATCATTTATAGTAATATCCAGTCACTGTGACCCGAAAAACTATTATTGCATCTCTTCTAATATATCCGAATTAAAACTATGATGAAAAATTAGAGCGCTTGATAACTCACTACTTATTCATAATCAAAATTCTTATTTGGTTCGTCGCTGATGGATCACAACTGATGACTCTTGTCGTAACAATGCTAATATACCCTTTCCTGTTTTATCTTCTGACTAGATACTTGAAAGGTGTATACGATGCGATGTAAATTTGTCACTAATGTATTAACTGGACAGTGTAGCATTACAGCATGGTTTATTTGGAATAACGTTATAATTATTGGAGGAAAATAAACAACGGATTGAAAAACAGTACATTAATATGACATTCGGTAGCTATATAGTCATGTTTAGAAAAGAATAGAGTAATTATTTTATCAAAAAGTTGCTTGAATAACCTTGTTACATCATCAATACGTGGAACTTAAATGAATTTCCAAAATGAACTTAATAAATGGGTCAACTCAATCATCCAGCGGTCTTTAGAATAATTAACCAATAATTGTTGGTTATTTATGAGGATATCGAAGGTGTACAAATATATGATTAAGTATCAAGCGTCCCTAATATTAGTTTTCTGTTAAATTTCTTCGATGCTGCAGCTTTATTTTCAGATTCCCTAATTTGTTGTACATTTTATAACATGTAAAAACTTGGATATTAAAAACTTTAAAAAAATAGAAATGTACTTAAAAATATTGAAGAAAAAAGGTTATGAGAGTCACATAAAAAAGTTTTAAAAAAAGCACGTTATTTAAATTGGACCTTATTTTAATCAAAGAAACATTTTCACAAAATACAATTTATATGTGTTTGTACTTACTTGTTTCAAACTACTAATGTTGTTAGCAACGTGCCCGATTTCATTTGTGATTCTTTTAGCAAATTATCGTTCACATACATAGATATGCAGAATCCGAGTATTTCATTTTGCTTCATATCCGTTAATTTATTGCTGTTAGAATAAGCGCGAATTCCGACATAAAGTGACTTATACATTTAAAAGGTAAATTAGGTTATAGGAACAAGAAAATTAGAAATAAGTGAAAATAAAAAGTCCAATATTTATATTTATTTTATTATGTACAACTTAATGAATCATTCACAATATAAATATTTCAAAAACCTCACCATTAGCGAACATTAATTATTTTATAAAAAGGTATCATCCCCAATACTCCTAACTTGGTTCAGTATAAACATTCGAAAAAAAAAAAAAAAAAATATTGGACTAACTTAATTAATTGATCGTAACGTTTAATTTACACTTTGGACAAAAAAATAAAAAAAAAAAATTCTGCATTTATTTTTGTCCGGAGCGAAGCGTAGGACATTATATTTTTATCGATAAATACCTTCAACGCTTTTCTTACTACGACATAACCACGTCAACGACAACGATAATTATGAAAACTTATTAAAAGAAATTTTTATCATTTGAAAAACTCTTTGCTGCGTACAAAATTTGCTATCCTAACTGATAAATATTTGCCAACTGAATATAATAATAAATATTAATTATTTGAATAAAAAAAATTAATAAATTTAATTGCTTACCTCACATTCATGGAGATACGTGACAAATCTTATTTTAATCTCCCAATTCATATTCTCTTTAAATATGGTATAATATTCGATTGTAAATTACCAAGTTACATTCATTCAGAACCAAATAAAATTTGATCCGAGTTTTTAAGATTATTTGAGATTTCCCACTTTAGAGGTTGGAACCGGCCAAAAAAACCTTACCCGACTAATAAAGATCTTAACCGGTTAAATATAAAAAATTAGACGAAATTTTTTATATTTCAAATTTTTTTTAATAATTTCAAATGCTTATCAAACTGTAATATTAATATAACAATAAATTATTATTTAAAAACATTTTAGATTTACAAGCTGTAAAATTTATTAAAACTATAGTTTGAATAATACTCTATAACAGTGTTAAACTAAAATTTTTTAATTTTAAAAATTATAAAATAAGTTTATATCTAAAGTATAATTATAATATTAATTCATAATTTATAATAATATTTTATAATTATTTAATGATATTAAAATATTTACCTTATTAGCAAGCATTTATATATTTTATATTACTTTTAATAAAAAAGAATTTCTTGAAAAAATTTGGAACTTAAAGTTGTACATTTATTTGTTATAATATTTTCAGTAACTGAAAAAGTCTTTCACTTGGAACTGATATTGCTAGAATAGATAAGTATTTATGTGTTATTATTGCTAATATAGGATATCTTTGTTTATTATCAATTACCATAAAAAAGATTGGTATTAGAACTTACTTTTTCTTCATTAAAATAATTATCTACCTTATATATTCTATTATTATATTACTGATCTTCACTTCCAAAAAATGTATTAAAGATTGAATTATTAGATAATTTTTATTTATTTTAAAGGAATCATCACTTAAGTTTAATACATATTATAATTTTTTATATAAATTTTATATTTTAATTTCAATTTCTAATTAATTTTACTATTTGATAAAAACTAAATCTTTATATCTAAAATTTAATATTATTAAAATAAATGCAATCATTAGATTATTCAATAAAAATTAAGTGATTTTATAATTATTTTAATACTTT